AAAAACACATCTAGACTAAGGTATGGAGAAATTTTATTTGAGACTATTGCAATAGGGGGATCGGACTATTGCACATTCTGAACAGAAGATCTGCAAGAGTCTCAAGTTTCTGCAGACTGGTGTGGTCAGGAAAGGCTGTTCTGCATTCTGATCTGGGGATCAGAGTTCATGGGCCTGTGGGAAGGGGAGAAGCTTGACTAAAGTTTGGTCAAGTCATATTAGCCAATATTTTATCCAGATTGGTTGGTGGGGGCAAACAATTCAGCTAATCATTTTATGAGACAAGGAAGGGGAAGTTGGAGAGTCTGTGTCTGGTCTTGTCTTAGGTAAACAGAGGGGCATCCATGGGTCTTATCTAAGTCACATGAACTGTGGTTCTTTGCAGAAAGCCATTTTGGAATACAGAAGTGTAGGGGGATTTCTTGACTACTGTTTTCTAGGAACATAGGGCTCAGATAAAGTTCAACATTATCATTCACTGATGGATGAATGGATAAACAACACATGGTAAATGCATTTAATAGAATATTATTCAGCCTTAAAAAGGAAGGAAACTCTGACATGCTACAATACCCATGAATCTTGAGGACAATTGTATAAGTAAAATAAGCCAGTGGCCAAAAGACAGATGCTGTGCGATTCCACTTACACAAGGTCTCTAGAGTCGTCAAAATCATAGAAACAGAAAGTAGCACAGTGGTTACCAGAGGTTGGGAAGAGAAGAGAGTGGCGAGTTATTTTTGAATGGGCATAAAGTTTCAATTTTGCAAGACAAAAAGAGTTCTGGAGATTGGTTGCACAATAATGTGAATGCGTTTAACACCACTGAACTGTACACCTGAAAATGATTAAGATGATAGATTTAACGTTGTGTGTCTTTTACTACAATCAAAAATTTTTAAAAATTCAGCATTGTCAGTCCCTTCTTTTTTTTTTATAACTTCTATTTTTTTAAAAAGATTGTATTCATTTATTTGAGAGAGAGAGGAGAGAGAGAGCACGAGCAAGGGGAAGGTACAGAGGCAGAGGAAGAAACAGATTCCCTGTTGAGTGGGGAGCCTGAACCAGGCCTCGATCCCAGGCCCCTGGGATCAGGACCTGCCGAAGGCAGACATTTAACTTACTGAGCCACCCAGGTGCCGCCACGTCAGTCCCTTCTTTTGTTCAAGATGAATAAATATCATTTATCGTTGAACAACTCAGAGGTGGGCTTAAATCTCCTGAGTGGAAAAATCATCTAAAAAATAGTCTCCTGAAGACTCTCATTGGTGTTGTTTCTGCAAAATCAGTTAAATCATCTACTGAGAGGTAGTGGATAAGATCAGTTGATTTAGAATCCCACTGATCAGGCACTTTAAGAGAAAGATGACTAGAGTGAAATAGAGAAATGTTAATATAAATAGTTATTTTAGGTAAAGAGCCAGGAGTTGCATCCTGGGGCTGTCTATTCCAGTAGATTCTGAGAGGCAGGTGGTAATCCAGCACTGCTCATTGAGTTTGTTGAAGCTAAGATGTCAGTGCTCTTGGAAATGCTGTCCATGGTCTTGGTTGCCTTGTATATAAAGGCACACATGACCTGAGCATTTTGCCAGATTTCTTTGGTAGCCCAGACAGTGCCTTTCCAGGGAGAAATCTGGCCCATGCATGGGCTGCGGTGGGGAAGAGTCTGTCTTTTGAGGTCTGTAGAGGCTTTCGATTGCAGTACTTCCTCAGATATTGGGGAAAAAAAGCCAATGATGAGGCAACCTAAAGTCCCAAGCAGGATCTGGTCAGTCGTATTTTAGTTCTTGGTGATGTCACGGCAAGAGAGAGGGAGAAAAATTGGAAATGTTAGTTCGGATGGTTGTAGACAGATTCTGAAGGAAAATAAAAGAAGCGAAAATTTAACAAGGTTTGACGATGTGTGCAAGATGATAGGATCTAATTCAGTTTACAGGAGTTCATATCCATCAGTTATCTGCAATTTACAAAGAGACTCAGACTGGCTCAGAAACAATGAACAGGGCCAGAATCTGATAATCCACAGGTTTTGCTACTGTTTTCCACTGAAACACAAAAATTCTCTCTAGAGTTATCCCTCTTTGTATCAAAGATAATCACAAAGAAAGATCATTCTTAATCATAAAATAAAGCTAGTCTCATTAGATATAACCTGATTATTTACAGAGGTGCAGCAAGAATGATGATTTAATGTACAGGCCTTTTTAAGTTTGCTTTGCTGGAAGTTTTCATAAGAAATCTCAGAATGGACTTCTAAAAGTTTCTTGAGGCTCGAAAGTCAAGCCAAGAATTCACCATCAGATTTCACCTGCATTACGCATAGATTTGGGTGAATTCCTCTCTTCTCAACGTCCCTCAAATAGCCCATATCCTGAGCTTGTCAGGAAAAGAACATTTTACTCCTCTGTAAGTCTGCAAATGCTGTAAGCCAGATATCAAGGGCTGGTTTTCGCAAGAGGGCTTCGTAAACACTGGCTCTAAAAACTCAACCTTATTTCCTCAAAACTAACTGGTCACACCTAATTCATTCTCAAATATAACATTCTGGACAAAGCCTTTGTTGTATAACCAATGTTTTCTATTATATCCTATTAATAAAGAGGTCAGATTCTCGTTGAACCTATGCAAATAGTTATATTGCCATGCAAATAAGAATACTCAGTAAGAGTTTTCAAATTCTCGAGGAATCAAAGAGAAAAAGATAACGTTTCATTAGAAATGTTTCATTTAGAATGTTTCATTTCTATTTTTTCAAAAGCATAGACTTCAAAATTGTAGGTAGTTTAAGAGAAAAGGCAAAGGAGTTCCTTATATCCAGAAAACAGAATATTAAAGTATTAGTAAAATTTCAAAAAAAAAAAAAAAAAAAACAACCACCCAAACCCAAATCATCCCTCATCAGTTTACTCAGTTCTGTGTAATTCTTGTTCTACTCCATCTTGGATTAGCAGTCCCATGAACCCATTAATTTCCTTGTTAGTGCTGGAAATCCTGACTCAGTCCAGTGGTATGGTCTCAAAATTGTTTAAGCAATGACATTAGAAGCCTGTGCTTAAGGGTACTTGGCTGAGCCCTTTCCCTTGTGGTTCTGAGACCATCCTTTGTCAAAGTCAAAGCACTCTGGCCTGTAGCTGATTTGCAAATGTGTTAAGGGAAGCATCAGAATAAAACAAACTCTCTGTAGATCACAAAAGACTTAAAGTGGTTGTGGTTAGCTTATTAATGATAATTTTCAAAAGTGAAAGATCTGATAGGAGTTCATTAAAAAAAATAATGCAACTGGCAAGGAAATTTGTTTGTTCCTGTGGCAGGCAAAACAAAATAAGATCAATCTAAAATCAAAGTGACAAAAAAAGATTAAAAAATAAAAGGAGGTATGAGACACCTGTAAAAGGAGGTATGAGACACCTGGGTGGCTCCGTCATGATCTCAGGGTTATGAGATCGAGCCCCGCATCAGGCTCTGCGCTGGGCATAGAGCCTGCTTAAGATTCTCTCCCTCTCCCTCTGCCCCTCCCCACCCTCTCAGTAAACAAACAAACAAACAAATAAATAAATAGAGGTAACATGATCGTAAAGAACTTTAGCTATTTCCCAAAGTAGGAAGATTTCATTCATTTAGCAGAGACAAAATTTAGTTTTGCATTAGTATAATATTTGATACTAAAGCTCTTTTCTTTTTTAAGGTTTTATTTATTTATTTGAGAGAGAGAGAGATAATGAGAGAGAGCACAAGTGGAGAGGAGAGGGAGAAGCAGGCTTCCTGCCAAGCAAGGAGCCTGATGTGGGGCTCGATCCCAGGACCCCAGGATTATGACCTGAGCTGACTGAGCCACCCAGGTGCCCTGATACTAAAGCTCTTTTATAGAAAAACTTATAAATAAGCCCATCAAACTTTGGCCAACATTGACCATGACAAATAAAATTCCCTTTCTCTGAAACTTTACAACTTTCTGTATCCATTCAGATTTTGTCCTATATGTCCCTCTCCCCCTTCTTAAACACCCAGTGATTACTTTAGGACAAATCTACTCTCCTTTCCCTTAACAAGTGCACATCCTGGATACCTTGTATTACTTCTCTCGGTGATTGTTTCTCCCAGAGAGTCTCATTCAAGGCTAATTTTTTTTTTTTTTTTTAGAAAGAGAGAGGGAGAGAGATGTCATCTTCTGAGCTGTGGACTAAATTTTGGACAAAGGGCTGAGGAGGACCAAAGGCCCTCTGGGTGTCTCCAAAGCCCATCTAAGTGTCTTAAATATCCCATCTGTGTCCAGGTCGTTTTTTCAGCCTCGGGTGATTGCTCTTGTGTTCCTTGAGCCCCTTGAGAATCCTGAAAAGGGGAGGGCCACCTTGAGCTCCAGGGACTATAGGAGCTGAGGGGAGATAGAGGGGTGGAGGAGGGAAGGGTTTTGAAGGGGAACAGATCCAACAATTCAAGGGAATTTAAAGGAGGGTCAGACTTAGTAAAAAGGAGGAAGAAGGAGCCACGAGGGGCAGGGAATGACAGGAAGGAAGATTTCAGGTGAGGGCCAGACTGAGGAGTTGTCTCATTTCCTCAAGAGGTCACTCAAGTTCCAAGTGTTCTTTAGGAAAATGTGGCCATTACTGAAGATCTTGACCTGAATCAGTGCCATCGTGGCAAAGCTTGTAGAGAGAGGGAGAAGAGGAGGGGAGTGCCAGAGAGAGAATTATTGTTCTGGATCAAATTGTGTCCCCTCCAAAGACATGTTGATGAGCTAACCTGGTACCTGTGAATGTGGCCTTACATGGAAACGGGGCGTTCGTTTGCTGGGGTAAGCAAGTTAAGATGAGGTCATTGGGTGGGCCATAATCCAACATGACTGGTGCCCTTATAAGAAGAGAAGATAGGGACACACAGGGAGAAGGTGACCATGTGGAGCCAGGGTGGGGCAAGAAGGGCTCTTCCCCTACAGCCTTCCGAGGAGGACACATGCCTCCCCACCCCCCCGGCCCCATCCTAGACCCCTGGATTCCAGACTTCTAGCCTCTAGATCTGTGAGACAACACATTTCTATTGTTTTAAGCCCACTAGTTCTGGTATTTTATTATGATAGCCCAGGGAAACTAATATAGCTAGCTAGTAACCCATGGGATTAGATGATTAAATCAGATATAAGACCTTACAGAAGACAGAAAAGATACTAGTTGTCTTATTCCTCTAATGCTCCTTGCACAATCCCAATCCCCCTCATTCAAACCTCAGTGGAGGAGCTGAGGGAACTTTCTTACAAAATAAACCGCTAGAGAAACAGAGGAAAAACTGAAGAAGCCTCGCTGAAGAGCCAGAGAAAGTTCTCTTTGCCTGAAAGAATCAGTGTAGCTTCTTGAAGTGTTACAACACAAAAATGGCCAGAGCACTGGATCCACTCACCATCATGGATCCTATATCCCCAGGACACAGAGTCCGAGAAGCCAGCATGAATACCGGGGTGGAGACGGAGGGACCCGACAGATGGTCAGCATCGATATAAGACATGGCGCCCAAAAACTGTCAAAGAGAAACAAATCCAGATTCAGGTAAGGAGAGACTTGGTTTAAAAAGACTATTGTAGGTGGTTGACAGGGGTTGGGGCTGGGGGAGGGGGGAGGGTGAAGGGAGAGGGGACAGTATGGAGTTTCAGTTTTGCAAAATGAAAAAGTTCTGGACCTCTATTGCCCAACAGTGTAAATACACTTAACATTGCTGAATGGCAAACTTAAAAATAATTAAAATGAGGGACGCCTGGGTGCCTCAGTTGGTTAAGTGTCTGCCTTCGGCTTTGGTCACGATCCCAGCATTCTGGGATAGAGTCCCACCTCAGGCTCCTTGCTCAGTGGGGAGCCTGATTCTCCCTCTGCTGGCAGCCCCCCACTGCTCTTTCTCTCTGTCTCTGACAAATAAATAGTCTTTAAAAAAAAATGATTAAGATGGTAAAGTTTATGATATGCATATTTTACCACAATTAAAAACATTTTAAGTTATTAAGAAGAGAAGAGACATAATATGGGGAGGGGGCCCCATTGCAATTCAGATAACACTCTGATCACAAGATCTACAAGCATCTCAAAGGTCAGGCTGAAAATGGCTTTTTCTTTTATAAAGAGGAGTAAACAAAGCTGAAAGGACTGGGTGTCCACAATTAGGTGAGAGGGTGTATGATTAGACAATTGATCAGAGAATGTCTGTGGTCAGTTAGTTTTTGAAAAATTCGGTAAGGAAGGGCTGTTCTGTATTCTGATGCAGGTGAGTCAAAGTTCAGGGGACTGTCTGGAGAGAGAAGCCTGAGTAGAGTTTGGTCAAGACACGTTAGTGAGTATTTTGTTCAGATTGGTCAGTGGGGACAAACTGTGGGGTTAAGCTGACCATTTATGAGACAGAGTGGGAATGTAGAGGGTCTGTGTCTGGCCTTGGGTAGATGAACAAGGGAGTTATCCACCAGTCTTATCTAAGTCATTTGAAGAAGGGTGGTTCTTTGCTGTAAACCTTTTCCCGGAACACAAAGTGGTGAGGAAGTTCAGGAGCACAGGATTCAGGTAGAGCCCAACATTATTACGCCCCTGACCCTGCTCCCCTCCCTCCACCCACCCCCCCAACAAGTTTTCCAGTGGTGAGTTTTTGAAGGAGTGCTCCACCAAAGTTGGCTAGCCCCCCCCCACCCCCCCACCCGCCGCCGCCCGGTCCTCACTCATAAAGCTTCCCTAAGTGTAAGCTATTGTTTGCATGTTCCTGGCACCATGCTGAGGACAGGGCATGCCTTATGTCACTTATTTCTGGAAACAACCTGATTACATTTCGGTTGCCATTTTACAGATGAAGAAACTGAGGAATAAGAAGAATACATAACATTACTCATGTCACATTGCTAATATCACATAATTAATATATTCATTTCCTAGGGCTGCAGGACAAATGACCACAAACTTGGTGGCTTAAAACAACAGAAATGTATCGTCTCCATTTTGGAAGCTGAAAGTCCAAGATCCAGGTGTCCACAAGGCCCTCCTTTCTCTGAAGTCACTCGGGCAGGATTCTTCCTCGTGTTGTCATCCCTGCAGTGGCTGCCAGCAGTCCTCGGGGTTCCTGGCTGGTAGACATACCATTCCAGTCTCTGTTTGCTTTGTCACATGGTGTCCTCACTGTGTGCCTCTCTGGATCCAAACTGCCTTCTCTTCTAAGGACACCAGTTATTGGGGTAGGGCCCAGTATTACCAATCTTAATCCAGGAAGAGCTCATCTTCAATTGATTATATGAGCAAGGTCCTATTTCCAAATAAGGCCACATTCACAGGTCCTGGGAGGTAGGACTTGAACATATCTTTCTGAGGGATACGATTCAACCCACAATAAGTGGTAGTAAGTGATGGAGCTAGGGCTCGGAACCACTCCCCTGTCATCTGCAGAGTGGGAACTTCAGGCCGCAGGCATGGGTCAAAATGACCCTTGAGGGAGTGTTAAGACAATATTAGAATGTCTGTTTTTAAATTTCATCTTTTAAAAATTTCCACTTGTGTTTTATGATGTACAGCATGTATTTACAATAGTACATGAGTGTGTTCTGTAAACATATATATATTCAGTGGGTACTCAAGAATTGTAACTGATCAGTGTATGAAAAAAAAATTAAGGCCCTGTACCAATCCTTTCCCTCTTACCCATCTCTTAAACTGGTGGTCAGTGGTGTATTACTTTCTCTTTTTAACAGTTGCCTCAGCAAAATAGCACCTCACTATTTGTAGTGAGGTGTTTTGATTTCCCCCCACCCCCAGGATTTGGTTGAAAAGGGTTTAGTTGGAAAAAGGACAGTTACCAGGCCTGAGCCAAGGTGACAGGTAGCTAGAACCTTAAGAATGAGGCGATTTGGCAAGATTTTTTCCCCTTCAGTTTGTATCCTTCGGTATTTCAATAACATTGTCTAACGATTGGTTGGTTTCCTTTTAACACCTCAGACAGACAGGCAGAGCCAGTGTTTAATATAATTTAGGTCTGAAAGCATGCTGTTAATGATCCAAACAATTTAACATCAGTTGTTGAGGGCAGGGGAGGCATATATCTTTTTTGGACTTTTTTTGAAATACAGTTTTTCAAAAGGAGAACCACTGCAACAAGTAACCAAGTTGTGATGCCGCTTCTATTCTTCGGACTTCAATGCTACAGTTTCCTTGTGTGATACTATTCCGAGACCTCCCCCAACACATACACATACATACACTTTGCCAGGAATTGTTTTGGGTTCCTTAAGGGAGAGACAGTGATATGCTCACAGGTAAATAAATCTCAAAATGATAATGTGCATTTGAAGATCCATTTGTTTATATATTTTAAAAACAGGGGGAAGTCAAAGTAAACCAGGCAAAATGTATAAATTTGTATTCAGATATCCATGGAAAAGAATCACTCAGAAGAACAAAGGATAATATAACACTAAATGAGTCATGGTGTTCTCCCAGAGAGTAAAACAGTATTCTTATTAGTTATTGTTTAATTCTTAGAACATTTGACATAAGGTTCTATTGATTGCTGGGGAGGGGGAGCTGGTCCCCTTCTCACGGGTTGTTTGAGTTCCTGTATGGGCCTAAGTATATTTTTGTTATAATTTATCCCACCTGTGCCTGTCAGTTCCTTCCTTTCCACTTGCATCCTCCCGTGACAGTCTGGCTCATGTTTCTTCATAAGGCTGTAAGCCAGTTATTAATAACAGCCCAGCGAGTCTCCTGATCCACCCAAGAGCATATGGTGTTTTTCACAAAAGAGAAGAGAGATCATCTCCTTGACTTTGGACTTCAATTATCGAGTCCCTCAACAGTAAGTTTGGCTCTTTAAACTATATGGCATTTTACAGTGTCGATGTGGGAGGAAAGTTTAGCATAACTCCTGTTTGCCTCTGGTAGGGGGAGAATATAGTAAGCCAAAACTTAGATTCCTAAAGCCAATTTCCCTCACTCTGCTTCAACCTCCCTCCAATCTGTATGAGGCGCTTGCACGACAGATGAACGAATTAGAATTTACAGTGTTTACAATCTCTCATTTCCTTCTGGCTAAGTAAAGGCAGGAGAAGAAGCAAGGGATTAATAATTCCTAAATTACTTGACCACACCTGGTGGCATGCTTGGTATTCCCGCCGCTCCAGTGATTGTGGAGAGAACTCTCACCCAGGGCAAGTACATGCACGGAGGGCTGCACCGGAGATGGGGGTCTTGTCGGTCTCCCCTGCTGGAGCTTCCATTCAGACAGGGCACCTGCCTTGTTCCAGTGGTTCATTGCTTTCTTGTTTTCTCTTTGCCGAAGGCTTTTCTTAGCAGCCTCCTTCATAATGGTTGCTTCTGAGAGTCCTGAAAAGTAGGTCACTGTGTTTTCTGTCTGGAAAAGGAGGACTTGCTCGGTCCTTGTGAGCTCAGCTGAAACCAGACAATCCAGTCATTCTTCAGGACCGGGGACTAACGCAGCTTCCTGCTTTTGTTACCTATATTCCATGCTCTTGAACATGTGCATCAGGCTTCTAAATAACACATTTAAGGGAGGCATTACAGCGAACTGGAAGGAGGCAGATGCTGGCCTGGTATGGAGCCCTGGCCTGGAGCACTAACCAGTTGTGTGAGTTTAAGCAAGCACTCAACCTCTCTGGGCCTCAGTTTCCTCATTTGTAAAATGAGAGTCATAATGACCTCTTTTATAGGGGAATGGGGTTTACTCATAATGTATATAAGTGGCCAAGTATACTAACATTATTTATGAAATCCCTCATTTGAATTTCTCCTGAATCTTCTTAGTTATCTCTTGTTTGTTTCACACTCAAATCTAGAGCCCCCAATGTGGTCTTTAACAGAAAACATTAATCTAAATGGTAGAGACAATGGACGGAGGTGGGCGGGGGCTGGGCTAAATGGGTGACGGGCATTAAGGAGGGCAGGTGTTGTGATGAGTACTGGGTATCACTCACTCTTATGTAAGTGATAAATCACTAAATTCTCCTGAAACCAGAACTACACTATATGTTAACTAGCTTGAATTTAAATTAAATTAAATCTTGGAAGAAAAAAAAAGAAAGAATTAAAAAACTAAATGGTAGAGACAATAATTGGTTTCATCTTTAGGATGGGCAGGCTGTGTGGAGGTCGACGCTGGGGCATATGGTTAGCAGTTCAGGACATTAGGCTACAGCTAAGATCAAAGAAGATGACAAACCTCCCAGAAAATTTCAAAGTGTAAGCTAGTATTTTCATAAACTTGCCTGCTTTACCAGTGTTCTAAAATTTGTCTTTTGGTTATGTGTTTCTATGGTTAGAAGGGACTACTTCCTCCTCATTGCTAGATTAATTCTGTGCCTGGAGGAGACAGACAGGAGGGTTGTCTCAAAGAGTACCTGCTTCCCAAAGTGTCCCCCTGTAACTCAGGAGATGAGATTTTTGCTTTCCTCCACAAGCTTTGATTATGCAGACATTTATTTAATTCCTACTGCGTGCAAAACATCGTGCTAGGTTAGCAAGGCATCAGTAAGCTCTGAATATAGTAGGAGAAAGAAGTCATTTTGTGAGTAACTCGGGCACAAGTCAGAACGGGCTGCTCCATGGTACATGAGATGCACAGACAGAAGACAGATAGGGCCCAGATTCCACAGGGCCTTCACACCCAAAAATGATCCCCCCAAAACGAGCATTGCTGGTTAGACTTCCCTTTGGAAGGCTGTAAATTTTTAGAAAATGATTCAGGGATTTTCAGCATTCCTCCCAAGGTTCACCTTCTAAGTAATGAGCTAGCGAGGCATAGAAGAACAGCACCGTAAAAGCTGCATCTCATCCTCAGCCCTCTACCCGTACATCCCCAGTTACTTTTTGTTTTTTGTTTTTTTTCAAGATTTTATTTATTTATTTGAGAGAGAGAGCAGGCATATGTGCATGATCAGGGGGAGGGGCAGAGGGAGAGGGAGAAGCAGACTTCCCACTGAGTGGGGAGCCTGACATGGGGCCTGATCCCAGGACCCTGAAATCATGACCTGAGCCAAATACAGACACTTAACCAACTGAGCCACCCAGGCGCCCCCAATTACTTTTTATTGAGCACCTATTTTCTTCTAAGGCCTGTGTTAAATGCTGGAAATACAATTCTGTCTTTAAAAAGGTCGCAGACTTCCATTTAACTTAAGATTCTGTTCTCCCCCTAGCCATCTACCTTCTCAGCTAAACTTGACTCCATAAAACACTTAACTGGTTTCAGAAATAAAATCTGTACCTTAATGAATCCAAAATTGCCACCAGGGAGTTTATGCAGGTTGTGTGTTGCAGAAAGTCGTTTGAAAAGTTTTGCCAGGTGCTGTTTAGAACTCCAACAGGCCCAGACAGTCTCCACTCTCTTCCACTCACCAGCCCCCAGCCTGGAGTGGCCCTTGCTTGGCTGTATGAATTCTGCAGATAAAAAACACAGACCTCACAAACACACACCCTCAGTCTCACTCCTGCTTCCTCACACCAAGGCAGGACAAACCTGTGCTGGGGCTTCCTCCCGAAACCTTGCAGAGCTGGTCCCCAGCCAGGCTCTGGGCAGTTCATCTGGCCCTGTAAGAGGGCACAACAGCTGTGATTCATGGAGAGAGTTGGGGAACCTGACAGGTTGATAACATTTTGATTATTTTGGTTCCAGAAGATTTCTTAATGTTAAGTGCCTGTAACTGGGCAATTTATGTCTTCTTGGGGGCAATGCACAATCTCCTATTTGGGGCAGGAATGTGCCCGTGGGAAATCTCAACCTTCAGAAGTCTTGGCAGTGGGTGATTAAGAGGAGATGTTTGTTCATGTGTAGAAAAATGGTTCATTTTAGGGCAAGATATTTACTTACAACATTCGAGGCATGGTCAAGATGGCCTGGGAAGGCCCCACCCACACAGGCATTGACCCAGAAAGAAAGCATGAGAGGGACAGTTGAAGAGAAGTAGAGGAGATCCACGCAGGTCGGGGAGCCCCCCAGCCCCCGGGGGGGTTTGGGGGGGACCCCCGTGAGTGCTGCCAGGTAATCCAGCCCACACGCCTGCACGCCTGCCTCCACTTCCCCTTGCCACCTTTAGATCCACTTGTTTGCTCTCATCCATCCGAGTCACTACTCTTCTCTTTCCCCCGCGTTGGGTGGCGGGGAAGTGGCCATGTTTCTGATTCGCTGCTTCACTGTAACAACCACTGTTTGCTCAAGCACCAGGCAGCATGCTGGGCTCTTGGCTTCCCTTTTTACCGATCCTGAGATACCCCAGTGGCGAAGGCTGTGGAGCCAGACAGACCTTCATTCAAATCCCCGGTTATCCCTGGCGTGTGACCTGAACTAGTTTATTTAACATCTCTGCTCTTCAGTTTCTCCCACTAAGGAAATAGGAGTGCTAATTACTCATGGTATCAGGTTTTATGTGATTAAAATCAAAGCATTTGTAGGCCCTTCCTAGTGATAGTTGCGAATAAAATCCTTTCAATTCCCTGCAAGACCAATATTATCTCTGGGTAGCAGGTGAGGTTAAGTGCCAGGTCTGAGGCTACAGGGCCACACCAGCTGGAACCAGGATCTAAAACCAGCTCGGTCTGGCTCTAAAACCTATGCTCGCTCCTTGTTCCACTTTGCTGACTGACCATCTGTGACCAAGCACATGTTTTTGTCCTCAGTCGAAGTCCACTTTGTCAAGCTCTGACCTGCCAAGTGTTTCAGTTTTCGCTTGTGACTTCCTTTATTTTGGACTCTTTGGTCTGACCTTGGCCCGAATCAGAGAAGTTGGAGGTGATGAAGGTAGAATGTCTCCCAATAAGCGAGTGAAATGCAGAATCCAATTTATCTCAAATGTCAAAAAATGGCTGAGGCCATCGTGATGGGTGGTTGTGAAGAAGTGTAGCTGTGGAGCCCCAGACAAATCGCTATACTTCCTGACCTTCTCTGGGCCTCGTTGGTCCACTGGGAAGTTTCCAAATCGCAAATATCTTTTCCAGTGCCAACGTTTCTGTCGTATTTCAGACCTTTCACTACTGTTGTTTTTCCTTAGCTGGAAAGAGAAAAATCTCTTTGAAATCCTATCTCAAGCAGGAAACAAGGTACAACGATCATGCCGGCAGTCATTTAAGTGTAAAGCCACATGCCATTATTATGATTCTCATTCAACAAGCTTTCTCTCATACAAGACTCGTATCACTGATGAATTAATTTCTCAGATCTGTGTTAAATTTCCTTTCTCACATAATTCAGCTTTGGGCAGAATCTAATGGGGCCTTAACTAGTTCAAAAAGTGCAATTTGAACTCAAATTTTAGAAACTTACATAACGCACAAAATCCATTTACTTTTGAATAGGCCTGAGTTTTTAGTTAACTTTTGAATGACTCAAATTTGAAGAGTCTCCTGGCCTGCCACACCAGCGTCCATTTCTAGAGTCCTCAGGGGACAAGTCTTCATTATGCCGTAGAAACTGTAGGCATCCTAACAGGACGTTCCTATCCTAAAATCCCATATTGCTGGTGCCAAATTTTTGTTGCCTACCAGCAACTTGTCTTGGTTCCCTAATTACAAGCAAAAAACAAATACAGAAGCAAAAACAACAAGACATAACTCCCATATGATTTCTGAAGTTTCTAAAAGATAATTTTATTGAACATAAACTTTAAAAGAGACATTTTCCATATAGAAAGCACCCAACTTTGGGATTTTACTTTTTAAATATTTGCTAAAAAAGGTAGACTTAATATATGTGTTTTTCCTGTTGTAATTGTCATTTAAACAAAATGACCTTCCGGTCTTCTGAAAAAGCTTCCACTTTACATGCAGTTATAAAAGCAATATTTGTTG